AATAGGCAGCTGACACTCAGTAAAGAATTTGCAGCTTGTTGCAGGCTACCTTTCTGCAGACTGAGCAGGGAGAGTTCATAAAAATGTGGCTGTCTTATCCATTCTTATGAAATGCAGACATCATAAGGAAGCGTACTTGGATGCTGGCCACTTATTCTTCACCTACACATCTTCCCTATGTAGATCACCTGATACAAGCTGAAGATAAGAAGACTCATGTTCATGCAGTGTTCAGGCACTTGTTGATCAAAGTAGGGCTGAATTAATCAGTGATGCTTTGTTCTCCAAAGGTGTCACTAGATAATGGGGTATTACGAACAGCATTCTTTTCCTGTTGCAGTTCCTTGTGCTTCTTAATTTTTAAAAGTACATTACCTTGATAAAGAATAACAAGAACCAAGGAATGGCAGCTGCCCCAACCTGATTCATAGCTTCTTTGAGGTCAAAGAACCAGGCACTTGTACATCTTTGTTACTGTACCAGAATTTATCATAGTGCCTATTCAGAGACTGAATAATTGAATTTATACCTATTAGATTTTATTCAAAACAAACCATTGCTTATTAATGCTTGTAGTTCTTTACTTAATAAAAAACCCCTAGATGTAACAAATAAGTAAGTAAATGCAATCTTATTTGTCCATTATTTCTATTATTATGTAAGATATTCAATTCCTCAGGCAGACACAGGGGCTGGGAGTTTGATCCTTGGACCTGCTGTGCTGGCCCTCCCTCTGCAGGCACTCTGAGACTGTAATTGAGAATGGGAATGGTGGTGCGTGCCTGTAATCCCAGCATTTGGGAGACTGTAAACAGGAGGACCACTATGAGTCCGATGTATGCAGTGAGACCCTGAAGACCCTGTAGACCTTGTCCTTAATATATATATATGCTGTTCTAATTAATTAATTAATTAATTTGATACAGGGTCTGGCCTTGCAGTTCAGAATCCTAGCGATCTTCTTGTCTCATCCTCCCCAGTCCTGGGAATACAGGCAGGTTTCAGGGCTGGTAGGGCATGAATGGTGCTCTGAGGCTCTCACAGCCTGAGGTACCAGGTATTAAACTCAGGCCTTTTCACTTCCAGACAGGCGCTTAGACTACTGAACTATCTCATCAGCCTCATGAAGGCTTTTTGTAGTTAGACTGACTTGATTCAGCTTAGATATTGTGAGTTTACCTTGTTGTGTCACACAGCACTCAGCAGTAGTGCTTTTAGAGACATGGGATCCTACGTAAGGTCATTACGTCATTACTATTGCACATCTGAACTGTAGCATGAAGGAGGTTTTAGGGTGTAAACTGAACAAGGCTGGGCTGCCTCCTGATCCCTCCAACACTTCTGGACCCAGGCCCATGTGGTCCCATCTGGCTCTTTCAGGACATGAGAATTGACTTGTCCTTTACAGTATCACATAGTTGTCATCATTGGCCAAATATATCAAACACATGACACTATGATGCACAAACAACACAGAATAGAAAAAAATGCTTTTTTATAAATGAAATTTCTAGTTGATTCTAAATATAATTTTCTCTGGGTAAAACTGACCTGCCTTGTGGAAAGAGAAAAAAAGAAACCAACAAGGATGCTTAGAGGAAGTTTCTCATTCCTGAGAGACGTTGAAAGGTGAGACTAGAGCCTACTATACCTCTGCTAAAAAGAAACAGATCCCAAATATTTGTTGATAGATGGCCTAGTGATCCTCCCTGTCCAGCAGCTCTGGGCTGTCTCACGGGTTGCTGTTACCTTGACCAGCCAGCAGGGGGAGCCTAAAATTGAAAACCAGGCCTGGCTGAAAGGGCTGAGGCTAAAGAGTGGCAGGAGGTGATGCTGAGCTCTATGGTGATGCTGGGCTGGAACAGGGCTCAGCCAGCCCTGACCAGGTAGAAGAAGAGAGAGTTCCAATTCTGGCTGGAACAATTGATAGAGTAAATACACACAGACTTGAAAACTTTGTCCAGAGAGGAGTGGAAAGGGGTAAAATCCCAGGAACTGAAGAGAAGGAACTGCTTGTCAGGTGCACAGTAGTAGAGACAGAGCCTGGTGTAGAAAAGCAAGCAGTGAGAAAAGAGGTGGACTGAACTCAGTGTTGGCACAGGAGAGGGCAGAAAATAGGACCTGGGTGTCTGTGGGCTCTAAGACTTCTAAGAAGCAGATAGCACTGAGTCAGGGAGAAACCTGCCCCCAGGGAGAGAATCCCCGGAACCATAAGACTGAATGCCCTGGCCTCCTCAGTGCCTGGAGTTGCCCCCTTTCCACTACTACCTTCTTTGCCAAATTTTTGGGGGTCTGATGAAGGTTGTTGCTTTAGAGATAGTAAAAAGTTTCTAAAGCCCAGAAATTTCATATGTGGAGTGTTAAGCAGAAAGTACATTGGACTGTGTGTAGGAGGAGCAATCCTAATGCTGCAGATGCCCCACTACACAGGGAGCAGGAACGACTGGGAGAGCTCAGAGTTAAAAAACATTGTGCTTGAGCAGTCAGTGACCTCTGATGCTTTCTGCCATTGCATGAAAAGGAATAAGGGAAGAGAAGGGAAGAGAGAAAAGAGGAAGCCACAACCAGAGTGGAAAGCAGTGAAGGTTTGTAGTCAGTGGGATTTGGTGAACAAGCAGGACTTCAGTCATGTTCATTCTTGAGAACCATTTAGTATCACAGTGCAATCCCTGTGGCCCATGTGCAAGAGATTCTTTCTTTTTTTCAGAAAAACTGGTGAGGCACAGGTGAGGCCTATTTTATGCCTGCTGTTACAAATGCCCCATGTGTTTTTTATTCAGGGCAGAAAGGGGGGGACCTTTGCAAAGCCTGCTGGAGAACTTCTATTATTTCTTCCATAGGAGAAAGTGACTTGGATCATTTTCTTACACATGAGGGGAGTCCTGGAGTCTATCTGCAGACAGTGATTGAAAATCTGAAGTGGCCTCCTTCTGGCTGTGTCCTGGAAACCCCACAGCATGGGATTTCTGTGAAGTTCTGAGCAGGGAACAGGCAGGGCAGGCTGGGCAATCACTTATGACCAAGGGCTGCAGCCTACCTCAGCTTTACATCACAGTTTTACTTGAACCTTTCTATGAGGGACTTAGATGTACTCCTGTTATAACACCATACTCAGTAACACAGCATTTCTCCTAACTTCTACTCCCATCCACCCAAGGCATGGAGTACAGAGCGTATGGCTTGAGAACTCTGTCTTCCAAGCTCTGAGATTAGGTCTAGGGAATTGGACACTATCACCCCTCCTGAGTTCCTCCTCTCCTGGGTTCTGTGTTTATGTACAGTAAAATCATCTTGAAACTGATCTTGGTGTTTCTTGGGTTTTCCATACAAATCTCAGTGACATTGGAACACACACACACACACACACACACACACACACACACACACACCCGTATGGTCTGAATTTCAGTTCATCTTGCACTTTCAATGACCTCTCCACAGTATAGCTGCCTTGGCATCATTCTTCCTTACTATATCATGAGGCATGTGCCCCCTTGGTTTATCTGAGTCATGTCTTCATGTCTGAGGGTATGCACAGCTTTACTGAGCTTAGTTTTTCTCTCAAAATGATGGGTAAACACAAGAGAGTCCAGATCAGTCTATATCACAGACTGTATATCTTTTGGGCCTGGGCATTTTGAAGCCCTCAATGGCAAGGAGGCAAAGAACAGGGTACCAGGGGGAAACATGACCCTGTATAAGAATTACAAGAGCAACAGTAAGGTGTGTCTGACTTGCACCAGCGTGAGGTCATTTCTATAACTCACATACTTCTGGAGTGTCATGTGATAATACTGGTAGAATCCTTAAGCAGGAATCAAAGTAAGGTGTTTCCTTTCCATAGCTTTCCAACATATGTCCAGGTCTTATGGACCAATCTGGAATATAGTGTAGACAAATTTACGACATTTTCACCACTTTTAGTTTCACTGTGCTTTGTCATTATGTGCACTGCTTATCCTTTAGATATGGTAGTCAGTAAGCACTAGGAAGTACTGGTTTGCTGGTTGATGCAAACCAGTATGCTTTCCTTTAATTCTGTAGAAAGGAAGCCTTTATAAGACAAAAGACTGGTATAGCTCATGTGAGTCCAGAAGTCTTACCTTTCAGGCCAGCCATTATCAGGAAGGATAGGGAGAAATGGGTTCAGGTGGCTCAGTGACCAAGGCCCCCTGAGTATATAGAAGGACTCAGGGGTAATGGAGCCCTGTCCAAGTGAGAGATGGGGCTATGGGTCTGGATCCCACCAGCCTAGCTCTCCATGTGCCTTTCATGGAACCATATATGGTTCTGGATGTCCTAGAAGGGGGACTTGAGGAAGGAAGGAATAACATCACATCCTTGTGGCCTCGTGAGGACAGCAGTTGCTGGACAGTGACAACTGTGTGAGGAGATAAAATAGAATGTTCAGTCACATGGCTAGAAGCCTAGGTGTGTCTTGGTCTTAGAGGAGAAAGGGAGGGAAACTAATTTCACATGAGAATGAAGAATCCCTGAGGATACACCATAGCCAATTTATCCCCAGACCTGTGGTAGAGAAATGGCTTGCTTAGGATGAGCCTCTCCTCCTCAGTCTGTTGGGACTGAATGGTGACCTGAGTGGTACCTGACAGGTCTGCAGCACACATGAAATCATCCTCCTTCCCCTCTGCCATGTGACACATGGACAGGTCACGTGTTCACTCTGAGACCCAGGTTAAATGCTGTGCACATTTCCTTCTGATGTTGCTTAGCTTCTATCCTTGCAAAAGTGGAGGCTGTGGAGAAACTAAAGCAGATGAGAAGGAAATGGTTAACAGCTTTGAGTGGGGATTTTGCAGGTGTTAAGAGAAGCTTGAAGTGCAGAGGCAGGAATCAGAAGAATTGTATCACTGGCCTGCATAGAAGGAGTTGGTCTCATTGAATGTAAGATATTGAATAAACAAAAATCAGTCTTCTTACTGAGATAAGTCATTTATTTAGCTGCTGGCATCAGCCCTAGAGCAATTCTAGGCTCACCTCTAGGAAACATGGCTGCTCAGAGAGTGGTCTTCATTTGCTGCTTGCAGTGTGTGCTCTTTCATAGTTTTCTCTATCCAGGCTACATAAGGTGAGAGTTTGGTGTAGACTTGTGGATTTATCTCACAACTTCCATAGGAGACAATGGCCTGAACCACGTTATTACACAATAAGGGGCCTCCAGAGTCACCCTGTAAGTAGAGAATGAGGCCATGAGGCAGTGCACCTTCTGGACTTTTCCCCTCTGACATACGAAACACCTTCTGAAGTACTACTCACAGTATGCTGGTGAGAGATGAGGGGGAAGGACAGGCTCTGGGCCCATCACTGTCAAGCTCTGACCACTGACAGTGTTACTGCTTTATCTTACTAACAAGATCAGCCTTTGTCCTGACCCCAGGTCTTGGGGCCTCATCCCTGTAGAGTCCTGTGGGACCATTGGTTTCTGGCTACTGTTTAAGGATATAGAGACAGATGAGTGGGCCAGACAGGGAGCAAGGACAATGAGCCCATTACCCAAAAGGGTCAGGAGGCTCTGAGGAGTCAATTGACTACAACTACTGCACATGTAGTGAATGGTTGCTAAAATCTTGGATGTGAGCTTATAGAGTGTACTGCAAACTCCTGCTTCCAGAGGTGCACTCATCCTCAGAAGAACCTTTGGTGAAGTGATAGAAACCTCAGTTTCCTCCCACCTCAGGCCACCGCTGTCTCTTTTCAGGGAGAATTATAACCTACTAGGTGATGAAGTCCTGCTGCTTGGGTCTGCTAGTACCATATATGCTAGTACCAAACACCATTTCTCCCAAAGCTAGATGTGACAGATGCCCAGTCTTACCTCATAGGAGCCTTTTTCAGTGTCTGGGTCCCCAGCACAGATCTGAGTTTCACTGTCATAGTTGTGAAAGTGTTTCTTGCACTCCTCATCCTTTTGCACTGTCATCTCCACCTCCTGCAGTGTGTTTGGAAATTTCCCATTGAGGTCCAAAAGTCCCCATCCAGCCACTTGGCACACAGTACCTGGCTTCACCCAAGATTCTTTCTTGGGCTTTATAATCTGCACCTCTTTAGTCTCCTTGGCCTTTTCTTCCAGCTGATGGGAAAGAAGTAAGAGGCCAGTTCAGCATGTGCCTTTTGGCCTTGGATGTTGTGATGAAAATGATGGCAAAAGTGAAAAGTGCAGAATACCAGTGAGAGGGACAATCTTGTGGGAGGAGAGCAAGAGCAGCAGGGAGGTGAGACTTACCTGCAGCAGCATGATGTCATTGGTGATTTTTTCAGGATTGTACTGTGGGTGTGGGATGCTCCTTTTCACATGTATGACCTGCTGGGTCTTCTCCCTCTGCTCAATGTTGTGGGCTCCCAGAGTGACAGTTATTTGTGATCCTTGTATGTTCAAAGGTCTGTACAGAGAGGAGAGTGATTTGAGGAATGTGGAGCCTGAGAGGACCCATGCCAGGAGCTATAACCTGGATAGAGCTGGTTCATGTCTGAGCTCCAGATGACAGGAGGGCCACCTGGCTGAGTGACTATGTCCTCTACTCCTTTGTAACATAGGCTGAAACTTTGGACCCAGGGTACCAGTTCTCAGGGTTCAGGTACCTCCATGGAAACATATGAAATTGCTTCTCTGTCTATCCTTATGTCAAGGCGTGGTCCTGGGTCTTAATATGTCAGGTTTGCTTTCCATGGCCCTCCTATGTCAGCAATTCCTTGGGTGCCTTCTTCTTGGAGTCCCCTTGGAACATTCCTGGCCCTTTCTCCCCCTCAAGTGAGACTTGTATGTTCCCAGGGGTCCAGGGAGCTCCTTGGGAGGAAGAGTATCTGAGCAGCATTTCCTCAAGGCTCTGGGATGTTTTTCCTTCCTCACCTTTCCATACAGTGAGCAGCTGTCAGCACAAAGTTCTCATGTATCAGGAAGCCACCACACATCACTAGAGAAGTATTATACTGGAACTCAAGGTAGGCCATATAGGGGCGGGAGTGGGCTTTGGCTTCGTGTCCCCCGATGATCTCCCCTGAGAGAAAAAGTGTTTTGATCAGCCACTGAGTCCATGCCTGAGCATCTGCTTGGTGGCTCCAGAACTGCTGGACATTTGGACACCTGGGAAACTCTGGAGCTGTGAAGAACCTGGAGGGAGGTGTATCAGCTTTTTTTTATTGCATAGAAAGGGAAATCAGGTCTTGGACTTAAAATATTTCTTCTCCATGCAGTCAGAAATGAGCATAATTATCTGGAGACAATAAAATATCAGAGGCTTTTCTTAATTCCTCTGCTTACTTTTTGCTTTGGTTGAGTACCTTAAACCCTCAGACTGCAGTGTTGTCTAGGAATCTGATATATCCTAATAACAGAGTTTTAGGTATGATCTAGACGTTGTCTGATCCTCTTTCCAAGGTCCTGATATGCATTTGATGCCCCAAAACTGTTCACTGGCTGTGAGTTAACAGCTCTAGGCAGTCTCTGGATTAATATTGGTATGACAGTGTTGATGGGTTTCTTGAAGACAGGAAAGTTAAAGTCTGTCTAAGTGGTTCATATGGAAAGTAGGAAAGACAGTAGGTAATGGGCAAGAAAGCAGAACTGGATAAACCAGAACTGGCTATGACACGGGAAAGGAAAAAGTAGCATTCTGAGCATCTCTGCTAAATGGCAGACAAGAACACCTTTCTTCTCCCAAACTTGGAAGACAGGTGTAGTCTGCTCTATACAGGAGAATTTCATAGTTTCTCTTGTAGCTTCTCACCAGTAACATGCACTTTGAGGAAAGACTTACTTTCCTGGTGACAAAAGTGGTTCCTGGTGAGAGTATAATGGGCCATGGCTCTATTTGTGAATAGTCTGTGTTAGCCTATCCAGTGTCATACCTGGGGTTCTCTGTTGGGATTGGAGGTCAAGTTCAGAGCATTTCTGGTAGACAGAAGAATCATGGGGGTGCAGAGGATAGAACACCCGTCTTCTCTGTAGAATGGGGTTGGGACCCTGAGAAAAAAAGATAGTAACTTACCTGCCCTTGTCATGGGGAATAGAAAGAAGGCCAACAGGAGCAGGAGTGGCTGCATCTTCCCAAACTTTCCCAGGTGACAGCTTCTGAAGATTTTTTATTGATGGCTTTTAGCCCTCAGAAGAAGACGGGGGAGAGTCAGCTCAGTGCCTTATGTTTCCCCCTGATTTTATGTTGCTTTATCATGGGTGGCTTTCTGAGAAAATGCCTTCCTCCAATGTATCATTTTATGATATCTAGATTGTTTGTGAAATATACAGTGACCACAGCTGATGATTCAGAGCAGATCACTTGTTGCAGATCACAAGATGAATCCAAGCATGTAAGATGGGGACTGGAGAATATGTTGTTGTCCAGTACAGAATCAGAACTCTGAGTTCCCAGTGAAAAAAATTTACAACACCAGGGTTTTAAGACCATGAGGATGGATTCTGAAGTAGATAAGCATTAGGTCCTTCTGTTGTGCTAGGGTCAAGGCTGTTGGAGAGAGAACTGACCATCTGGTGAAGGAGACATAATCCCATAACCCAGTTTCCAAAAAGCCATCGTGGGGTAATGTGCTAAGCAATAAGAAAGTATCTGTGCTATGTACTAAATCTACATAGTGACTCTTACATCTCCAAATTCTCCTTCCTAGATTACCCTAAACACCTTTTATTTTATTAAAATTTTCAGTGTGACAGAATCCAACTCTCTTTTCAATATTTTTAAACAAAGTTTTTGTATGTGGCATTTATTGGACTAAATTAGCAAATTTCCATGGGTTATAGGCATTCAATCTATGAATTGGCGTTGCTAACTCCCACTACTTTGGGTAGGTTTGGTGGATCCAACTAGGATCCAACATCCTGAACCAGGAAGAGAGATGTGTAGGGTGTGTACCTGGGCACTGATACCTTGTCTTTTGGGCTCTTCTGTGTTCTGCTCCTGGGATATAAGAAGTGTGTTTGTTCCTTGTTCAACCAAGAACTTCTACCACAGGGTTTCTACCTTAGATCTTGGGACTGAATCCTCTGAATCCATCTTGCTTGATGGACTGCTGTGTCTCTAAATATTTGGATTCTGGTCTTTTTAGCTATTATTTCTGTGTTTATATTTTACATCTTTTTTTTCAATCTTACTTTATTTTATTTTGAAGAGTAAGATAAGAAAGAAAACCAAATGGCAGAAACAAACACAAAAACAGAGTAACATACAACAGTACATATGCAGCAAACTTTGAAGACAAGAATAGTTAATAAAAAACTCCACCAAGAAGCTACTGGAATTAATTAAACAAGCCAGTTGCTTAGCAAGAAATAAAGTCAATATCCAAAATCCAATAGCATTACTCAACACAGATAACAAACTCACTGAGAGAGAAATCAGAAAAACAATACCCTTCATGATAGAATCCAAAAAATGAAAAAATTATGAATTAATCTAACAAAGGACTAAAAGACATATCCAATGAAAATTACATTGTTTTCTATTAGGACTGTTCTGCTCAAAAAAATAAAGTTCCAGTGTCAGTATCTTTCTTGTCAATAGAGAACCATGAACATTTATCAGAGCTTTGCATGCTTTTGCTTGAACTTTACCAATATTAAAAAAGTTTAAAAATAAAATTTTCTTTTTATTGTAGACACGATATGTACCCACTAAAAATTTAGAAATTAGAAAGGAAAAAATAGCATTTATTTGTCCATTTTTCCCAGACAAAACAAAAATTATTAGTACATGCTTTTATTACATAATGATTGCATTTATCATGAGAAGTTGGCACATGCTACATATTATTTCTTATTAGTCCTCTTCTTGCCCCTCTTTCCCATACCTCCATCTCTTTGTTTCCTTCCTATATGAGAAAACTCTCTATTTATCTTTTATTTTTCTCTTTAATTATACTTTATCTGTGCTATGTATGAGAAATCATGTGATATTAAACTGGTCTGAATTATTTATTTCACTTAACATTATGGTTTCAAAGTGCATCCATTTTTTCTACAAATGACTCATATTTGTCCTTACTTTTTAAGAAGTAGAACTACATTGTGTACAAATACCATATTTTCTTCATCCATCTCTTCATAGACATCTAGATTGAATCCAAGATGTAGCTGTTATGAATTGTACTCTCATAAACATGGATATGTGTGTATCACTGTCATAACATATCTTTAGTGTTTCCAGGAAGAGACATAGAAGGGAAAGTTCTGGGTTGAATGGAATTTCAACTTTCATGTTTTTGAGGAATCAGTGTACTGATTTCCATAGTCTCTTACACAGAGGACTAAACCCATGTAGCGAGCATATAAAATATTTATGGCAGTACTGTCTATAGCATGTATTTTTTATTCTAATCTTTCTTACTTAACAATATAATTGAAGCATTTTTATTACATTAAAAAACTGATTAGTCAGAATCACCACAGGACTTGTTGCCTAGCCTTGTTAAAAATTTTAACATACAATATATTTCTCAAGTTGAACATCTTTTAGAAATCAAAAACAAAACAAAACCACCTGATTTTCATCTCTTATTAGTAATGAGATTTAATATCTGAAGTATTATCTAATATATTTTTCATGTAATATTTGCTTTTTAAATTTATAAAGAGATTGTGGTAAAGAAGATTGCAGCACTATTTTAAAAACAGGTAAAATGAAGTAAAATATGTTTTCATGATTTTAAAGCATGCAATTCAGTGACATTTAGCACACTCAAAATGTGCTTCTGAATTTCAAAATTTTTCTAATACCTCAGAACATTGTGTAATGTTTCAGGAATCAGTCCCCAATTCCTTTTTGTATCACGATCCTCCACACTGTACTGCTAGTTTTTTTTGACTGTATGAATTTATATATTGTGAGTATTGCAATATTGGATTGTATTTTTGGAACCATTTCTCCAATCTATTGCCTTTCAATTGGCAATTTAAATTATTTACATTTGAAATTATTATTGATAATAAAGGACTTATTTATGACATTGGGCTACTTGCTCTAATGTTATGCATTTTTTGCTACTAAATTCTCTCAGTAATGCCTTAGCAAGTCTTGTAAGCCGGCACCTTTTAAACATATCTGGTCCTATCATTTTTCATTCTGTTTTTTTCTCCTGGTGGCACTAGGGGTTGAACCCAGGGACTTTGGAATGGTGTACACACCAGCTGTTCTCTCTATTTTTATGTTGTGACAAGATTTCATTAAATTGCTTGGACTAGATAATATGTTCCTACAGGTTCATTCTACCAGATTCCTGAAATTACAGACATTTACTACCATTCCTGGTTTATCATTTATTTATGAAATACAACTTTTCTAGATGTATAAACATTGGCTGATAGATTTTTTACCTTATATTCCATGTAAAACATCCCTTTGCATTTGGTCTTTATGACTTGTGATATGAGGTTAACTGTTAATCATTTTTATGTGAATTTTTCATACAAGCTCTTTGTTTCTAATTTTTTAAGAGAATTAAAAATAAAAAGGAAATAGAAATGACAGAGAATTTCAATAAAAAAGATGATAGGAATTCAACAATTGTTCCATACTGCATAGTGTTGTCTTCAAATTTGTTTTTCAGATACCCAGATATAAGCTTGCAAAATTGGTTGAAAAATACTTTAACCATTAACTGTTCCGTTCAATAGTCCTGTAGAATTTACCAGTATTACTATCCAAGCTATCCTGTGTAGCACAGCCATTTTTTTTAAACATTTTGTCATAGCTAAATCTTGGACACAATCCAAATGCCCATCACCCGAATAGATGATAAAGATGTGTACTTTTATACAGTGGAGTATAACTGACCTGTGAATGCAGATAGGCTTCAGGCTTTCATAGGTATATGGATGCAATTAGAAGTTATAGATGTAAGTGAATTGCATTAGACTAACATGTACAAACAGCATATTGTCCTTGTAGTGAAAGAACCTGAAAGTGTGAATAACATCTGAAAAGTATAACAGATACTGTGAAAGGGAAAGAATCTGTTCAAGGGGAGAAACAACTGGGAAAAGAGAAAGGAAAAAAGAAAGAAGGATGTGTCAACTGTTAATCTTATTGAGATTCTTTTCTCTGGGATAATTCACTTCTTTTTTGCTGTTTTGAAGACTTTTCTCTTTGTCCTTTAGCATTTTTTATTATGAGGATAGTTTTGTGTTTACTCTTCCTAAAGCATTTGAGCTTATGGAGTTTGCATACTCTTATAGTGCCCCATATTTAGGAAGTTAGGGGCCATTGTTTATTGAAAATGTTTTTGATACATTTTTATTCTTTATCTT